CCCTTTCCCAAAACAACTTGGAGAGCATCAAAAAAGCTTCAGCTCATTCATACAGACCTGTGTGGACCTCATAGAACACCATCTTTAAATGGTAGTCTTTACTACATTGTATTTATTGATGATCTAACAAGACTGACCTGGATTTTTTTCTTAAAATTCAAGTCTGAGGTAGCTGATGTGTTTTGGAATTTTAAGGCAAAAGTGGAAAATCAAAGTGGCTGCAAAATTCAGACTTTAAGGTCTGATAATGGGAAGGAGTACACTTCAAATCAGTTCAAATTACTCTGTGACAAAGCTGGTATAGAACATCAGCTAACAGTCCCTTATACTCCACAACAAAATGGAGTTAGTGAGCGGAAAAACAAAACTATAATGGAGATGACTAGGTGCATGCTACATGAGAAACATCTACCAAAAAGGTTCTGGGCGGAGGCTGCCAGCACTACTGTTTTTTTTGCAAAACAGATTCTAGATTCTAGATCTGTAAAGGATAAAACACCATATGAAGCATGGTATGGTCATAAACCCTCATTGCAATTTCTCAGAATTTTTGGCTGCGTGTGTTTCTCTTATATACCACAGGTTAAAAGAGATAAGCTTGACAAGAAGGCAGTTCCTGGCATCTTTATAGGCTACAGTGTTTTCTCCAAAGCATATAAGGTCTATGAACCTCAACCAGAGAAAATTGTCGTAAGTACAGATGTCCACTTCATTGAGGACTAGCACTGGAACTGGGAGAAGCCTGAAAACAATCCACCAGTTGACAGTCTATTAGATCCAAAAGATCTAGTAGATGATCCTCCTGTTAGAGGCACGCGGTTGATCTCTGATATCTATCAGAGATGCAATACTGCAATTTGTGAGCCCGCAAGCTATGAGGAAGCAGAAGGGGATGACAAATGGGTGGCAGCAATGAAGGAGGAGATGATGATGATCGAAAAAAATCAGACCTGGGTGCTTGTTGAGAAACCTCTAGACAGAAAGATTATTGGTGTAAAATGGGTCTTCAGGACAAAGCTAAATGCTAATGGTTCCATTAACAAATACAAAGCGAGACTTGTAGTGAAAGGTTACGCTCAGATCTTTGGAGTAGACTACTCAGAAACTTTCGCACCAGTTGCTCGACTTCACACAATCAGATTGCTACTAGCCATTGCAGCGGAAAAAGGTTGGAGAGTTTATCAACTTGATGTTAAGTCAGCCTTTCTCAATGGTCTTCTCCAGAAGGAGATTTATGTTGAGCAACCAGATGGCTTTGTTGTCAAGGGGCAAGAAAATAAGGTTTATTTGCTAAAGAAAGCTCTATATGGTTTAAAGCAAGCACCAAGAGCTTGGTATGGCAAGATTGACGATCATTTGCTCAGTTTAAGCTTCAAGAAGAACCTATCTGAGTCTACACTTTATATTAAGTGTTCAGGTGCAGACATACTTATTATTTCTTTGTATGTTGACGATCTCTTCGTCACAGGAAGTAAGGTTTGCCTAATTGAGGACTTCAAGTTGGAAATGATGAAGGTCTTTGAAATGACAGACCTTGGACTGATGGCATACTTTCTTGGAATGGAGATCAAACAAAATGAAGACAGTGTGTTCATTTGCCAGAAAAAATATGCTCAAGAAATCCTAAAGAAGTTTCATATGGAAGACTGCAAAGTTATGAGTACTCCAATGAACCAAAAGGAAAATTTTTCCAAAGACGATGGAACTGAAAAGGTGGATGAGGCATATTATAGAAGTCTTGTTGGCTGCTTGATGTATTTGACTGCAACTAGGCCTGATATTTTGTATGCAGTGAGTTTTTTGTCTCAGTTCATGCATTGTGCAAGTGATTTACACTTGAGAGCAGCTAAAAGAATTGTCAGATACATCAAGGGAACTCTCAACTATGGTGTTAACTTTCACAAAAGTCAGAAGTTTAAACTTAACGGATTCTCCGATAGTGATTGGGGTGGTGCACCTGATATGAAGAGTACTTCAAGTTTCTGTTTCAATCTTGGGTCAGGAGCTTTCTCTTGGTATTCCAAGAACAAGATATAGTAGCACAATCAACAGCCGAGGCAGAATTATGCTGCAACAGCAGCTGTGAATCAAGCACTATGGTTGAGGAAAATTATGTGTGATCTGAATATGGAGCAAAAAGAAGGGACTGAGGTTTTTATTGATAACCAAGCTGCAATTTCTATTGCTAATAATCCAGTTTTTCATGCAAAAACGAAGCATTTCAATATTAAGTTGTTTTTCTTAAGAGACGTGCAGAAACATGGAGATGTGAAGCTTCTTTACTGCAAGAGTGATGAGCAGGTTGCTGACATTTTCACCAAGCCCCTTTCCCTCGGCAAGTTTGAGTCTTTCAGAGAAAAACTAGGAATCAGCAGTTCCTAAACCAAGGAGGAGTGTTAGTTGCTATGTTTTAGGACTGCAGCCTTTTATTTATTTACTGCAGTAAATTAGCTTTAGTTTTCCTCAAATAACTTCTTTACCTAGTCTCTAGGAGTTTGTTTATCTTCAGCAGATGTGTTGCTGATTTTTAGGACCATGAAGTTAGTTCTTTATTATAAGGGTAAGTCTTAGGCAGTGGGAAAAGACTGCATTATCAAATAAAGTTATCTCTTCTTTCTTGTTCTTCATTGATTTATAGTTCTAATCTTTCATTGTTCTTAAGTTCTCCTTTGTTCTGTTTCTGGGTTTCCACCTTAATTAACTACATGCAGGTACAATTCTCCAGTTGTTTCTGTTTTTAGCGTGAACTCCTCCTTGTTCCCAACTGTGCAATTCTCCATCATTATGTCCAATTTAACAGTATCCTTCAGTCGATTGAGTCACTTGCCAGCAAAATATCTATTTCTGCTAACAAAGTGGTCACATTTTGCAGGAACAATCATGTTTGGTTCACAAGAAATTCATATTCATTATTTTATTTTGTTTTGAGAACTAAAAATTCATATTCATTATTTTCTCCCTAAGGAGATTTCCAGATGATTGAGGAGATCTGCATAATTGCATACACAACTTCTTATCTCTTTGCCAATCGGTAAAATTTATGTGCATATGACCATATCACCCAAAGTAGACAACCACTGCTCTCCTCCTCTCAGCGAAACTTATGTGCATACGGCCATTTCCAAAAAGAATAAACAACAACACTTCCCTCTCCTTGGGTCAACTGCTCTTCTCCCTCAGCATGTGTGTCTAGTTCCTATTTTGTCATAATGTTACTGTATGATAAACAACGACTCCAAGTTAACACGGACAACCCTCTAGAAAAGAAGGATCACAAAGATTTAATATGTCCAACTAGGTGCTCTCTAACAGTTCTGCCAGACAGAGTTGCAAAGCAGAAATAGTCAGGATCCCATGTTGTCGTTATTCTCTTCGTCTAGACAAAACTAGCAAGCTTTCGAGGATAAAGAGTAAGGAGCAGCAGAGGTTCCCTAGAACTATTTAAAGAAGTGAACCCATATCCTTGAACCGCAATTTATGTATGTTAGAACCTAGAAACGTTTTTAAAGAAGTGAAAGTGTGAAACAGTACCCTGGAAATGCATTTTACTTATGATAGGTCCTTGAAATGTTGCGTCTCAAAGAGGGAGTTTCTCCCTACCAATTTTGCCACAAAACAGTCTAGGTGCACATCATGTCACCAAACGAAGACCAACTTTGTATAACTTTTTTTGATAAAGGTAACGTTCTGTATATCAATCATCAGCTCAGAGCTGGTAACCAAAACATTACAGCATATCCTATATCCACAGGAGTGTGCCTATCAAACAAAAACATAAAGAAAAAGCAAAACTATCACTAGATCCTCCTTCATCTTATAAGGATCCTAGGATGTCTACAATAGCCACATGATCATCTATATACTCTGAACTACACCAATAGCAAAAAGTGATAATGCACTTCATATTAATCTTGTGCAATGGGCTGCTCTTGTTTTCGAAACTTCTTTCTTTCCATATGGTCCACCAAATAACTGCTGGGGCAATTCTCAATCTGCTCTTGTCTATGCTGCCATTGCCCTCCAAATTCCAACTTTCTAGAGCTTGTCCTGTTCTTTCAGGAACAGTCCAGCTTATACCTCTGAAACTGATAGGAACAGTAGCGGACTCAAGATTGTTATTAAGGGGTGTCAATAGTTGTAGTAAAAAGTATAATTATGAGGCTAGAATGACTAGAACCCATGATTTCAAGGAATTTTCCCAACACTTTAACCACCAAACTAAACATTTAACTTGTGTTAAGAGGTGTCAATGCTTACATATGTGTTTACTAAACCAAAATTTAACCTCTATATACAATGTAATTTTCCGACGAAGGGGTGTCTCTTGACACCCCTTGGCCAAAGGTGGGTACACAACTCTATTCCCCTCTTCATAATCTCCCAACTTTGTAAAACTTAATTTCCCAACTTATTGATTATTTGTTTAGAACTTAATCTCCCAACTTAATGATTATTTTGTTTAAACCTTAAGCTCCCAACTTATTAGTTATTTGTTTAAAACTTTATCTCCCAACTTATTTATTATTTGTTTATAATATATTTGATTTAAAAGAATACTACTCTGTGGATCCTACAAGATTATAGTTTAGTCATCTTTATGCACGCCACTTTCTAGTGACAGAATTGATTAAATTTTGCAGTACTTGACTAAGAATTAATGTGACATTTGCTCAATTATAAAATGAGTCACATTTAGTCCAAAGAATACAATAAATTCAACAAGAAATACAGCTGGCAGGTGAAAAGTCATTGGATTAGACCAATTGAAAATCCAGAATACACCTAATAATCTTCTGAGACTAGGTTTTAACAGCTTGTTACAAGACAATGATTCCTCAAACATGCTTCCCTAAATTTTATCCAGAAGCTTAGTTCAATAGCACATTGAATTAGGACAAAATGACAATATCAACAAGACTACTAAGAAGGGACAGTGAATGCTCCACGGCAAGAGTCCAGTAAATAAGTAATGCAGTGTATATAAATAAGGGAAAAAAGGATTTTGTTGTGGATGCGTTTGTGGGTAAGACATATGTTCATCATCAGACTCAATCATTCTCTAAAAGTTTTAACAGATTTACCCAAAGAGAAAAAAATAAAGAGTATTAGAGGATTTACCTGAACTCGATTTTCTCCGAACGGAGTAACCAGAGATTCTAACTGTGTGATGAACACCCTTCAGAAAAAATGTGGCAACATTAGTATTAATATATTAGAAAAGAAAATGATCCAATTGCATTTCTTGCATAATCTTTTTACAAGATGCAGAGCCTTCTATAGAAGATGCTGTCGTTGAGTCTAATGGATCAAGCAACACATGGTACCATAATGAGCATGATGTTGCAGTTACAGAACACGACTACCACAAGAAAATCATACAAGATGGAAACTTTAAGGTTCAAATGTGAGAATAAGAAGGAAGCCAGATTCTTAGTCACCTTAAAAGCTGCACGTCCTCCTCATTCAGAAAAGTAGGTATCAGGGACTCTGCGTGACTTAACAAGGAACCTACCAGGCACAAGTAAGTCAATGGTAAAGCACATAACTTAAAACTGGAAGACATTCTACAAAATAGCGGTGTTTACCAAGGTTTCGGCTAACGGTAGCTGCTTTTTGAGGATCAGAAATTGATATAAAACCTTCTGAGGTATCAGAAACTTCTGTTCTCAAACACTGAACAAACTTGTTAAGAAAAAGATCCTTCTCCTCTGCAATCAGAACTAGTATGATTTAGCAAATAACCAGGCAGCAGTACTATACATCAAGAGAGTCAAGAATTTATACCTTTGCAGATATCAGGAACAAAACAGTGGAGATTTGCTAATACTTTGACCAACAACGATGTTCTTTGATGTGGATAAGACAGTCTAGGTACATTGGAAGGAACAAAAGTTGACTCTGTACTCATTGCATTTAACTGATCAGAAAATGGAAACAAATCCAATACCCATCCAGCTGCTGCAAAAGGGTCATATTCCAAAGTAGCATCTTCTTCACGTATTGGAAGGTCAGATGAGCACCAAGTAGAAAGGAACTCTCCATGCGTGACAGAAAAGATTCCCGTCAAAACTTCAGTCTGAAGGAATGCATAACAAGGTAAATATGAAATTGGATCTCTTGGGAGATAAGAATAGCCATGGACATAAAAAAATAAAAATAAAATATATATATATATATAAAGAAAAAAAGAGAGAGATAAATTCGTTCTTGAACAGAAAACACAATTATAGACAGAATAGTCAAGAGATGTTCTCAGGCACAAGTTTCGAGGTCCCTTTTGAAGTTTCTTCTGCACTTTGAAAATTCTTTTCCGATGGACTTCCTCCACCAGAGATCTCCATTCTCTTTTTTTTTTCTTTCACTCAAGACTTTCTTCCTTCAGTTTCTATGGAAAACAGAATTTATTTTCGAGCAGGGGGGAAATCCTACGACATCACGGAGGCAAGATCCAGAGGGTAAACATGGTACGACTGGATAGAAAATGCTAGGTACCATTTGAGATGGATGGTACTGAGTACAGAGGCACTCAGTTGGATCTGCAAAAGGCTCAGTGGATCTTCAGGCTTCAGGGGAAAGAACCACAAAGCTTGGAGATGCAGGGATTATTCTACAAATATTTTTCTATCCCTAAAGTTTGATCAATATGGGAGATTTATTTCACTGAATACGATCAAAGGGAAGGACAGAGCAGTTCTCATAGTGGCAAGGTCTGCTTACACTCTACCATCCCCAGACCCCACTTGTGGGATTTCACTGGGTATGTTGTTGTAGTCATGGACATGATGCAGAATTTCCAAAAAAGGCAATAGTGTACAGGAAAATCCTTTAGAAACTATTATAGGGAAAAAGTATCTTCTTACAAAGTGAGTGGTGATAAATGACCGAAAATTTGAGTCGTCAGAGAAGATGTCAGCTAGCCGCATTGCATTGAGTTGTAACTGTCCTTTTGGATAAATTTTGTCTGATGGAGCGACAGATTGCTGGACATCCATTCCGAACATTTTCTTCAGTAAATTAAGAACCTAGACTAACAAAATTGCATCAAACGAGCTGTCTGCTTTGATAAATTCAAATTTCCAACTATAAAGATAAGTAGCAGTATAGACATCAGTACACTAGCATGCAGTTCAAGACTCATTTACATCTTAACAAGCATCCAGCAGGCTATAACATATAGTATCTGAATGAGTTATTTTAACCTCTTAAAGCAGCTATTTTTTGTTATTGGTGGGAACTGTTGAGCTTTCAAAGTGATTTCCATAAGTTGTCTTTCCATCACAAGCAGGGGAAGTGCCCACCTCATGCCATTTAACAATGAGTGATTCTTTTATCCTATCTGTATATACCCTTCCTATATAATGTCATCCCCAATCAGTTGTCTACTTTGTAACATGGAATTAGGCATCTCAAATTTAAAGGGACAGTACATAAACCCCCCTTATGCTAGGTTTTCTTTAAGATAGAGTGCACATGATTCATCAACAAAAAATCAACGCATATTTATAAAATCAAAAAAATTTAGGTATCCTGGAGTTTCCACGACATGGTCACCTCATCACATTAAGGAGGATTGGGAACTTTTATTGCTCCAAAGGGCCATTGACTTAAAGTTTATCTTTACCGGTATGTAATTTAAAAAAATGTTTAGTCTCTCTAGTTTTCTTGACTTATTAATGACCTTCGTCTATCCAGTCTTGCACAAATTAAGGTTATAACTAACATAAGAACAGGTATTGACAAAACAAATATGGAAAGCATTAAGTAGTGTCCATGCCAACAAGATAAACTGAAAATGAATGAGGTTGAGTTTCTACAGCAATATCAGTTAGTGTGGTTTATTGTCTACTTTGGTGTCTGCATACATGATATGAAAATTAATTTAACAATCACATCTTGGTCTTTATCTCACTGACCAGTTGATAGCCATAAGGATAATACAAGTCAGTGCGACGAGTTTTGATTAGGGGAAGAGAATAAATCTGTCTTTCTTCTATAAATCAAGAATAATTACTCAGTAACGGGCCATGCGAGAACCAAAAGATCCACTGGTCACACCCAATAGTGAATCATCAAAAAGAAAAATTGTCTGTCTAACACTAAATTATTCACCCCCCGGGTAGCAACTTTAAAAGAGAGAAAAAACACTGTGTCTAGAGACGGACCTCGAGAGCAATAGATTTTGCTAAATCAAGGCTTGCAGGAGTGCTGGCAACTTCATCCAAGTAAGATAGACTATCTGCTTCACAAAGATTCAACAACTGCAGAAAATGGTGCATTAAAATTCATTCCTACAAAAAAAAAGCTTATACTAACTGTTCTCAGCAAATTCACAAAGCCTCAAGCAATAAGAACAGCCGAAGATCCCACTACCAGTTGGACTTACAATAGTTAATACTTTAGATTTCAATCTTGATACAGCAGCAACAATCGAGGAGGATACTGTAACTAAGGGAGATACATCTAAGCGCAAGACAACTTGTGCCAACAGAAGAACTCTGCCTTTGCTGCTCAACTCCTGCCATAGATTAAGAACACACAATTCATTAAGAAGAAAACACACAAAGTTAAAATAAGAAATCTTTTTAATCACATAAGACAGTTAAGAAACACATTGAAAACTTCAAATGCTTGCACGAATTATGAACAAAACTCATTACAATAAATGCTAAGAAAATCAGTTTTCAGCAACTACTACTACTACCAGACCTCAATCAGTTTTATATGCTGGTAAATAGCTTCTTAGTGCTGTAAAAGCAAAAAAGGAATGGAAAATATTCAGACAACTTAAGTGAGATAACACAGCAAACACATAATATAAATGTTGTAGTATGAGTTGGGACCAAGACAGCAAGAGGAAGTTGAAGATAGGTAATCCAGTACTCTCTCTTGAACTTGCAGAAGTTACATTTAGTCAAATTTATTCTGTTTTTATATCATATCGTTCTCATGAGATACGAAACTTTATTCCATAATCCACTTTATATCATAAAGCATGTAAAGGGACAAGGATGCTCAGTAAAGAAAGCAGGTTCATTGCACCCAAGGGTGTGGCCTAGTGGTCAATGAAGTGGTTGAGAACCCTGAGGTCTCAGGTTCAAAACTCAGCGGAGACAAAACAAAACAATAGGTGATTCTTCCCATCTGTTCTAGCCTTGGTGGACAGAGTTACCTAGTACTTGTTGCTAGTGGGAGGTATCCCGTGGAATTAGTCGAGGTGCGCGAAAGCTAGCCCGAACACCACGTCATCAGGAAAAAAAGACAGGTTCATTTGTGCATCATGTTTGGCTCTATTAGACAATTGTAGATTCACCCTACTTAGGCTAAACCTGAACTATAAAAAGGCATTCTTTTTCCCAGTTTCCAGCAGTCATTTTCGTTTCAGGTATAATATCCATATAATTCTGGGGAAAAACCTTATTCTTAACAAGTCGCTCCCGAAATAATTTCTGCTGACATAGTGACTGAAGAAACTGTAGAGAAGCCTCACACTGCTGGCAGAGATGGTTTAAAGTTTCTTCAGCTTTAAGACCATATGCCTGCCTGGAATGAGCATGATCAGCTGATAAATTCCTTTGCAGAATTTTAATATCAGCAGTAACAGCAGCAAAGGCAGAATCCATGAGTACATCTACCTGCCAAAGAAAGAGGATGCTCCTCAGTCTCAGAACAATCTTTCAAATACAAAAGCAATGCATACAAGTAGCCCACTCTTGTTTTAATCCGACATGACAGTCTTTCATTATTCATACACAAAGAAATTAACCTTGTTATATGCAAGCAAAACTTGAGCAAGCTCAAGCCACTGTGAAGATATACAGACAGTCAATAAGTAGAGACTGGAAGCAACCAATGTAGAATGCAAGAGAACCATATCATTTGAAACCTGAAATATGAGATAGCGTTAAATATTCCTCATCACAGATAACATAGAAATACAAATATTGAAAATCCAGGTGAGGGGAAAACAACCTTTCTGTAAGTACAGAGAATAACAAGAGAATAGAAGACTAGATCAAGCAGCTGTTCTGATACTTTCACATCATCAAGCAATATCTGAAACAAGTAAATAAAGATTTCAGCATGATTTTTTTTTTGTCACAACATACAATAGTAAATTGTTCATGACCTGCTCACATTTTCACCAACATGAAGAAAAATGGAAATATACAAATATAAGTGCACTCACAACTATTCAGCTTGAAAGAATTGTATGTGTATATATTTTATAGGAAATTTAAGTTATGTTTCTTAATTATATAGCTGTAGAAAGTCAAAAGTGCAACCTTTTGAGAAGAGAAATAAATTGGCAGGTCACAAGATCAGCAACTCGAGACAACTAACACTCAAAACAGCAACATAACAAACATATCCATGACAGCTGCAAAACCATGCTCAAATATACTCTTTTCATCCCAAATAGAATAATGAGTTCAGAATACAAGGCGTGAGGTATCTAAATTTGGTGCAACTCCAAACATCGATTCCTTAAATTTACATGATATAGATGTTATATATTTAACACTACATTGTTCAATACATTTGCGAATGTAAGAGATAATTGCAGTCAACAAAGAAAAACTGTAACTCCTCAACTAGTAATAGTGTCAGTAAAATGAGCAACAAAAACTACTAACTGTTTATGATTTCTTTGTTATTATCTTGCTTGACAACCTTCCCTTTTTTTTATCCTTTTCTTATCCCAATACATTAATGTTATAGAGTAATACAAACACTCCATTTGCCCACAAAGAGAACGGGAGGAGCAACAGAATAGAATATAACAACCATTAAATCGGCTCTTGTACTACCTAACAGTCATGTAAAACAAAACAGTGTAGCTGACGACATAAGTAAACAAACAAATAATAAGGTGCCACCTGTTCTATTTTTTGATGGCGTGATGCTAGATCACCCAAGGAGTGCAACAGTTGAAAACCAGATAGCAAGTATTTGAGTAAGCCTGCATTTCCTTCCGATCCCAAAATCACCGCAATAAGGTGCAAAGCAAGATATCTTGCAAGTCTTTCTACGTCAATCTACAAACATAAGAATGTGTCAGCAAGCCTAAAAGACTAAAAACATAATTTAACCATAATGGAATAATAAAGAAGATATCACAGTGTCATGGCCATTAAGAGTTCCAACCTGTATGTTTAACCCATTTTCAGGTATGTATTGAAGCATATTATTTTCAGCTTCTCTTATAAGCCTGCTCAGCTCCTGAGAGCTGAGACCATGTAGTCCTTTCACAGCTGAAATTAGGTCAAGTGCCTATTATCAAAAGAATTATATGAGATAAACATGCACGCTAGATCACAGCTAAACAGTTGATAAGTGGTCATATGGATCGCAATCCCAAACTACTTGGGGTTGGCCATGTGAATCCTCCATATCCATTCTGTTTTATATGTGTTCATTTCATTCCAAATTTCCAATGCATATTCCATCTTACTTCTACTTATCCAAAACCCACTACACAATCAATCTGATGGCGCACGACATATATAAGCATCAGAAGCTCAGACATTTATTTCTTGTTGGATTCAATGCTGGTGAATAAAATGCAACTATGTTTACTATTTTTAAGCATGCAACAGATGTTTCCCTCTTTCTGATTCCATTAGACTGGTAAAATATTTCAAAACAGTAAACACACACACACAAAAAAAAAAAAAACATTCATACATACAAAATAGAAACTGTTCCTTTGGGAATATTAACTTCTCTCTTCTTATTTTTTGCAATTAAATTTTTCCCATCCTCCTCCCGATTAACTATCACACATGCACACTCCTTAGTCTTTACAGACCAATATCAGTGAGTGCCCCTTTAGAAACACCAAAAAATTAGCTGCTACTGCATCAAAAATTAAGTTAAAGTGTTTGGCTGTGGCAATTTTTTTCTTTTTCCGGCATTCAACTCCGGAAAAATGTCCAAATTACTCACAAAAAATCACAAACAACTCCAATATGTATTCATGGCGAAACACAACTTCAATTTTCAAATATCATTTTTTACTTAAAAACAAAAAAAATACTCTTCTTTTTTTCAATTACTCACAATTTTCATGGCCAAATAAATCCTTTTTTTTTTTGTTTAAACTTACAGGGTCGATAGGTCTTGCAGTAGAGCTTAATAGCTCAGTGCTGCATGATATTCCTTCTTCATTCAAAATCCTCATAGTTGAAATCCCCCAAACTCAAGAAACCAGAATGCTCCAACCCAACTGCAAAAGGGTACCCAATAGGGTTAAAATTCTTCCCAAAAATCTCAGATACAAATAATAACACCAAAATTGTAGCAAATCAAAGAGGGTTAAAGAATCCCAAATGCCTAATAAGTATAAATATCTTAACTCAAAAATATAAACAAAAAAAAACACACCCAAAATCAGAAAAAAAATAAAAAGCAACGAAACCTGAGCTTCGCGAATTGCACAGTGAAAGAGCTAGTGTCTCTGTGGAGGAAGAAAATGGAGTTAACAGTAATGACTACTTCTTCTAATTACTGTAAGATTTATGCTCTTCGATTTATATATTATCTCAGTTGACTGTTAAATCAATATATTGTGAGTCTGATTAATTTAAATGCGTCACATTAGAACTTTATCACGAAAAGTGTTTACTCTAAAAAAAAATTCATATTTTAAATCCAAATATTTTATTTATTGCATTACAGTGTTTGATATAATAGCATAAGTTTTATTTAATTCTATAGAGTGATTCAAAATAATTGTTTTATAAGTTTCATTATTTAAATTCTTATAAGAAATTCAGGTCTTGACGTTCATGCATTATTTACTATTTTGGTAAGTAATAATATTATAATATCTTCTTCATTAGGTATACACTATTGTTTAAATTATATCAACATTTAGATAAAATAAGCTTATATAAATTCCAAAATAATAATATTTATGTTAATATATTGAGTTTTTCTTTTAACCATTACAACGATAATTATTTTTCTTTTAAAAAAAAATGTATATTAGATAATTATATGTGTTTTTAAAACATTTCTTTTATGTGTTATTCTTGCCTATTCTTATTCATAAACCATTAGAAAAGAATCATATCAATTTTTCATATAATAAAGCAAGCTTGAAAAAATTGTGAATCATCTTCATAGATATCAAATAGATCGTTTACTTCTGTAGTAAATTATTTATAACTCTGACCAGAAAAAAAATATACAATTGAAATATATAGCTATAATGCATAGTTAAAACTAGGCGTGGACAAGAAAAATCAACAAATTGTTCCAAATCGACAAATTGAGTCAATGAAAAAAAATTGATTAGCGGTTTGATTTTACTTAATTTGGTATTGAATTTTTTTTTTATCATAATTGATTTAATTTGATTTTAATAATATTTGTATTAAGATTTTATCAGAAAAGTCCGAAAGCTCGAAAAAACAACAAAAAAAACAAATTGAAAATTAGAGAAAGTTTAAAAAAAGAATGAAATTGAAAAACCCGACTTTCATTAGTTTAATTTAATTTAGAAATTTAACAATCTGATAAGACCGATACAAATAATTTGATTTAATACTTAAAAAATTGAATCAATTCGATCCATATTCCCCACTAGGTGAAACTTCATAATTATGGCTAGAGCATATTGTTTGACTAAAACTACTAAGGTTCGGTCAGGCTATTTACATGAAAATAAATTAAATAAACAATTAAAATTTTATTAATTTGTCGAAAAAACTATTTGATTAAAGATAATAAAGTTATTTTATATGTTTAATTTGGGAAAAAATAATATACAATTGAAGTGAAGATTGAAAACACACACACGCACGCACACACACACACGCACGCACACACACTCATGCACGCACACACACACAGATATATATACGCACGCACGTGCACACACATACTCACGCACGCACGCGCGCGCGCACACACACATATATATATATAATTGGTACTTCACTATTTTGGCATCGATTTTATTATTTAACTAAAGAGAATGAAGTTTCATATAATTTTCTTGTATAGATTTAACTCAAAAAGAAAAAATATAGAGTTGGAATAAATAAATGTTCCTCTAAAGAATAAATTTAAAAATGTAAGTTGACATAAGATTAATGCAGTGCAGACGCAAAATGAGAAAAGACAGATGAATAAACAACTCATCACAAGGTCATACCTTAAGAAGCACCGATCTCTCTCAGCAAAATCTTATATGTGTTATGAATTCAATATATGAATAGAAAGAAAGATGATTTAGGGGTTTGAGATAAACAAATAGGAGCACGCGGTCATATATCCTAGGATGTTCCTCTAAAGAAGAAATTAAGAAAATGTAGAGTTGATATAAGATTAATACAGTACGGGCGCGAAATGAAAATGACAGATCGAGAAACAACTCAACAAAATGTCATACCTCAAGGAGCACCAATCTCTTTCAGTGAAATCTTATTTGTGTCGCGAATCAAATCAATAAATAGAAAGAAAGATGATTTGAGGGTTTGAGATAAACAAAGGGGAGCACATGGCTATACAACCTAGGTTTTTCAATAATATATATATAAATTTATATTTTAATCCAATGTATGAATAAAAAGAAAGATGATTTAGGGGTTTGAGATAAACAAATGGGAGCACGTGACCATATAACATATGGTGTTCCTCTAAAAACTAAATTAAGAAAATGTAGAATTGACATAAGATTTATACAGTGTAGGTGTGAAATGAAAATAACATATAAAGAAACAACTCATCAAAAGGTCATACCTCAAGGAGCAACAATCTCTTTCAGCAAAAGCTTATTTGCTTCCCGAATCCAATCTATGAATAGAAAGAAAAATAATTTAAAGGATTGAGATGATGAAATGGGAGCACGCGGCCATAAAACCTTGGATTTTCAGTAGTGATAGTGTGTCTATATATATAATAAAAATTATTTTATTGAATGTTCTTCAATTTATTGTGACATTGATGAGTAACTGATTCAAAATTAATATAATCTTAGATAAATATACAATAATGAATATAAAAAATTAGCGTCAACAAAATAATAAATACTGCATTTACATTTCAAGAAAATTAAAATATTATAATATATTGTTTGTATCTTCATTAAATATTTGAGTTGGATGCGTCTTTGACTTTTTCAACATTAAGGATGTGTTTGGTATGAAGGAAAACATTTTCCGAACAAGCCCCCAGACCCCATCCCCCCACAAAACCAAAAAAAATAAAATATCCAAAAAAAATAAATTAAAATACTTCAAATTTTAAAAGTTTCAATTTTTTACACCACACTACCCTTGATCACCCCTACCACCACCACCACCCTCACAATTTTTTTTCTTAGATGTTTGCTTTTGAAAAATATTTTAAATTTTAGAATTTTCAATGTTTTTACTCCAACCCTTACCCCGAGCCCATTACCATCCCCCCTTCCCCCCACCTTTCTCCCCCAAATTTTAATTTTAAAAATTTTATTTTTTAAAAAATATTGCAGATTGATGTGAGGCCAAACATACATATTTTAAATCATTATTTGCCTCACATTTAGTATTTATATTTGTTCTTTTTAGTATGGATTTTATCAATTGTGCTTAATAATGTATTTTATTTGTAGGATTAAATTGGAACCAAGATAAAGAAGTTTGGAGATAAAACGAATTAAAGATGAAAAATTATAGAAAGAAATCAAGAAGACAGCTTAATAGAGAAAAAGTTGAATTACTATATGCGGCCATCTGCCACATGTCATATTCTGGAGACACTTTCAAGTTGAAGCGGCGGAAATATGTGAATCTGCTATGGTTCATGCGGAATTCAATTTCGTTTGGGTTTGGTTTCACAATTTGTTTTGGACTTAATTATTTTATTTAGGGTTTCCTACATCTATAAATAGTCCATAAGAATAATTATTAGAAGGATACACTAGGAGATACTTTGTAGGGAAAAGTCATTATACTTATTACGGTTCTTTTCTTAGACATTAGTAGCTAAAGACTCTTGTTCTAGGCTGTACCTACGAATGATTGTTTAGCATTGAATTTTATGGATTGAAGATTGGTTATCGCATAAATTGCTCTTTTGTTCTTATTTTAGTATTTTGTGATTGGCACTCATTGTCCAAATTGAACTCGGGAAAGGAATATGAGGATAGAACGTGGGACAAAAGGAACGTGATCTTCTCTAGAAATTAGGGTTGATTTGTATCTAGGATAGAGATATACCTAGAGACCTTGCTTGGTTACTAAACAAGAAGAAAACTTAATGCTCCGCAATTGGTAAAGTTTATCTCCGCTCAACAATGTAGTTAGACTGCCAATTGTGGTAGGCGATTAGCATGAATTCTTAGTAAGTTGCAGCACTAGAATTTTCCAACTCATTAGTATACGTCTTTTATTATTTCATTCTAATTTGGTAAATTCTTTTGGCACTCTGAAATAAATAATTAGAATTAATATAAATAATAAAGTTATTTTATATGTTTTATTTGGGAAAAGATAATATACAATTGAAGTGAAGATTGAAACCACACACACACACGCACGTACACACACTCACACACGCACACACACACAAATATATATACACACTCACGTACGCACGCACGCACGCACACACACACGCACGCACACACACTCAAGCACGCGCGCGCACACAGAGACAAACACACATATATATAATTGGTACTTCACTATTTTGGCATCGGTTTTATTATTTAACTAAAGAGAATAGAGTTTTATATAACTTTCTTGTATATATTTAATTTAAAAAGAAAAAATATAGAGTTAGAATAAATAAATGTTCCTCTAAAGAATAAATTAAAAAATGTAAGTTGACATAAGATTAATGCAGTGCAGGCGCAAAACGAGAAAAGGCAGATGAATAAACAACTCATCACAAGGTCATACCTTAAGAAGCACCGATCTCTCTCAACAAAATCTTATATGTGTTATGAATTCAATAGATGAATAAAAAGAAAGATGATTTAGGGGTTTGAGATAAACAAATGGGAGCACGTGACCATATAACCTAGGGTGTTCCTCTAAAAAATAAATTAAGAAAATGTAGAATTGACATAAGATTAATACAGTGCAGGTGTGAAATGAAAATAACAGATAAAGAAACAACTCATCAAAAGGTCATACCTCAACGAGTAACAATCTCTTTCAGCAAAAACTTATTTGCTTCCCGAATCCAATCTATGAATAGAAAGAAAAATAATTTAAAGGTTTGAGATGATGAAATGGGAGCACGCGGCCATAAAACCTTGGATTTTCAGTAGTGATAGTGTGTCTATATATATAATAAAAATTATTTTATGCATGTTCTTCAATTTATTGTGACATTGATGAGTAACCGATTCAAAATTAATATAATCTTAGATAAATATACAATAATGAATATAAAAAATTAGCGTCAACAAAATAATAAATACTGCATTTACATTTCAAGAAAATCTAAAATTATAATATATTGTTTGTATCTTCATTTAATATTTGAGTTGGACGCGTCTTTGACTTTTTCAACATTAAGGATGTGTTTG